GGTTGCGCCCCCACTGCATGGATCGGCTGCGCCCCTACTGCATGGGTTGGCTGCGCCCCCACTGCATTGATCGGCTGTTTGCTTTTTCTAGGTGAGGTCTCACCTGACCCACCGGTCACACTCACCAGACGGGAGCAGTCACTGGATGATGCCACATGGAAGGATATATGGCTAACCTCTGCCCAATCACAAGGGACCAATAAGCACTGTATGAAGGCATGTCAACTATACCCCAAGAGCTAACACTTCTCTGCCTAGATTACTCTGCATACTAAAATGTGTTGACGTATTTAAAATGTGCAAAAAATGTAAATCCATATTCTAGTCTTGAATTCCTGGTGGACTGAGAAGAGATAAAACTGGATGTGGTTATAAAAAGATCAATCTAGGACTACAGTCTACCCAGAGAACAGTAGACCCAGAGAACAAAAATTACAAAAAAAACAACAACCCAAAAAACATCAGAACTGGCCTTTCACTGATTGGTTACTTGGGGGGTACTGCTTACCTTCTTTACAGAATTGAGCACAATGGTGTCTTACTCATGGAGCAGAGACAAATATTTAGATTGTACACATTAATACACTTACTCATGCAGCGGGGGCAAATCTCCAAGTTGCTTAATTCAGAAGCTTTGTACATTACTGCAACCTAATATTCTGTCATTGTGTTAAATGCAAACCATAAAAACCCCAGACTTCTACAGATAACAAAACCGCAGACATCCCAGCTGCAACGCAGCTGTGTCCAAAGATGAATTTATGAAACATTTTCTATTCCACAATTTTGGGATAAAGTCATATTTGATCAACAAAACAAGCGACTGCACATCTTTGTAACAACGCAATAACGGAATCCATGTGAGGTGGGCAGAAGGTACTAAAAGCTGAATCTATCATGCAGATGGTACTTTGTAGCATGTGGAATTCCCTCACGCACATCCATTCGGTAACACTGGGAGCGGGCAGCTGATAAAAGCCCCAGGAAGCCATTTTTATTCATGCGAGGGGTAAATTACCATTCAAAACTTTCTCCACTTCCCCGAAGACCACGGGAGGCGACGGTGCCTATTTATCAAACTCATATGTCTGTAAAATCCAAGATCAAATTAAAGCAAAAGCAGAACCAGATTTATGGAATAGTCGGAATCCCGCTGAGGATTTCTCGGGACTTTACATGTTGAACGATGTCTTTCTGAAATCTTGGCTGAGTTATGTCTCACATGGGTTACATAGCGAGACATTTAGGTGGAAGGATTCGGAAAACACGTTTTTGAGAAGTAAATAAAAATGAATGCTCAATACGGTCTAAACCCCCGTACACACGATGAGAGTATCGGACAAACGATCGTTACTAAGAGGTTACTAAAGTTACAAAGATTCTCGTATGACAGAGTAAAGATTCGGAAGTGATGTCATGTATTGTATTTTTCAGACGAAAACTGTACAGATGAAATAAAATGGAATGTAAAAGTGAGCGCTCTAAAAGATAGCAGCTATTGCACAAAAGGTAACCAATAAAAAACCTTCATTAATCAAATACATCAATAAAGTGCAGCGCTAAAAATGTCAATGTGAAAATGAGAAATGTATAAATGATCCAAAAGTGACAGTCCGTGCAGGTCTAGGTGAAACTAGTATCAATCACGATCCAGTGTCGGTGCTACCAAAGTGATATGGTAAGAATACGCACTCACCAGATGCGTAATGTAACGTAACGCACTCACCAGATGCATAATGCGTAACACATTAAAGCAGTAAAGGTCCCCTCTAGGAGTTAGATGTGGTCCTGGACAGGGAAGATCCTCCCTCTGCATACAGGTGGTGCTGTTGGAGCTCTCAGATGGTGATGGAACCAGTCAGCCAGAGGCCCCTTTAAGGGGTGGGTGGATATGGAATCCTAGATGTCAGGAACTCCCCTCTCTGGATACTTGTAAAGTGCTGAATCCAAATGGCTCTAGAACTCAATTACTCCACGATATCAGGAAATTCACTGACAGAAGGAAGAGGAATCCGCAAAGCATGTGAACGTGTTCTGTACAACATCCATTCCAGCCGCGATCGATTGCACAGCCTGTCGGAGGCACATCACACACACCGTGTGTTAAATGAACGTTGATCTGCCATCATACGAGAAACATTTTCGAGCATGTCCCTTCAAATAATTTTGGACGTTGTGTACTAAATCAGATTATTGTACGATTGCTTTCAGAGCTGCATTTTTCGTACGATTTTCTGATTGTGTGTACTAGGCTTTACAAACATTTTGTACCTATAATATGAATTGAAAATGTTATAAAATTTTAAAAAAAAAAAAAAAAAAAAAAAAAAACATCTGGTCTACAGTAGCTGAGACCAAGCAGGCTGGCAAAACTAATGCCGGTCATACATAGACCGAAATTTGTCCGGTTCAGCAAGAACTGGCTGACAATTGATCCATCTAAGTGCAGCCTGATTGTACCAAAGTTGATCCATCGATTAACTTGGGTACAACCAGCCTGTTGGATTTTTTTTATTCGATTACTGCTGGTGGCTATAGTCACTAGCAGTAATGGTGTTCTGCCAAACGGAAGGCCACCGGACCCCAACCCCCCACCCCACCACCAAAACATGCAGACACTGCGGCCTTAGAACGAGCCCACAGGTAGGAGGAAGCAGCACAACATGAAAAGGAGGAGCGCAGAGCGCTGGCAGGGAACCTGAGAAGAAGAGGATCTGGGCTTCTCAGTGCAAAACCACTGCACAGAGCGGGGTAAGTACACCATGTATGTTACTTACTGGAATTGGTAGTAGACATGCCACAGGCACAACACTTTGCTTTACGGCTGCTGAAAAAACAATGCCCCGTCATATTCTGCAGACAGTGCTGCAGCTGAAGGCGACCTATCCAAGTGAATGGGGTAGTTCCACAACTACCCTGAAACATGTCCACCATTGGTGCAGTGTTGAAGGCTTCTCAGGGTTACAACAGGTGGTGAGGAGGTGATATATTGCCTCTTAGCTGCCCATTTACCACGCTCTTTAAAGCGATCGACGAATGTGCAGATTGCTTTTCATAGGGGGGGCAAGAGCTGTTGCGTAATTGTGCCCTAAATGTATGGAGTGAAAAGCTCTGTTTTGAACCCAAATGTTAGATCAATTTAATTAGGTCTTTTGTGCTGACTAGTTGAAGCGCTTGGCAGTTCTTTGCATTGATCAGCAATTTTCCGTGGACATGCAGGATTTTATATTGCACTTGTTTATATCTTCTTTGAAGCTGACCTTGAATTGTGAGGCAAGGGGCAGCTGTCCAGAAATGGTGACGGCTATGCCCGGAATGGTCGGTTTATGTTTGTGGATTTGAGGGGAGGTGATGAGGCTGTCACAGGAGGTGGAACAAGGTGAGCCTTTGTTAGAAACATTAGCACCGGGCTCCCCGTTTAACCACCACCATGCCGCTAATGTAGCTGTTCGCTCTGTGAGTTGACTAATCAGGTGAAGTTGCCATTTAGTCATCGGGCTGAAAATGAGGAAGTGACTAATTACGTGTCAATGAGTCACTTAGTGGCTGCTTGTCAGTGAAGCTGTTCACAGCTTGGCCAATTCCAGACATAAGCTCATTAAATATTCACCTTGGCTGGAGCTGGGGGGGGGGGGGGGGGGGGGGGGGGGGGATTGTGTTCCCACTTTTAGTCAGGAATTTCTCATTGTGGTTTTTGCTGCTATGAAACGTGGCGGAGGCGTTTGTGATGATTTCTGGCTCTCAGCTACTATTAACCTCTTATAGCCAAGGAGTTAGAACAGTGACTAAGGGTCCATTCATACCACGTGATATATTGGGGCAGCCTTGCCCAACGGGGCCCAAACACACTGACAAGTCGATCTGCGTCCTATGAGTTCAGTTTACACCATCGCATTGCAGAAAAGAAATAAAACATGCGCTACTTTTCTTTTCAATGCATCGGCCACCCGCAGTGATGAATAAAGATGAATGAAATGCCAACTGTGACATTTCAATGAAATTCAAGGGACTTTTTTCAGGACAGTTAAAAGAAAAAAAGTTAATGCGATGCGTCACGTATGACGCACCAACCCGGCGTCTTGTACAGCACATACCAGCAGCCACTGGTGTGACTAAGCCCCTAGGATTTCATTGTATATCAAGTACTGCTGTCCTTATATTAAAGGTACAACCAAACATTAAAAATCTGCATGACAACTGATTCAGGGGACACAATGCCACAAATGGCTCCTTCATTCTGGCATGTGGCTCCCATTCAGCCTAATTCATTATGGTCTTGCCATGGCACACTAGTGATCTTAGCCGGAACACTCACTCACTCCGTGCCCGCTCTCCCACACAGAACCATACGCACACACAAAGGGGGTTCAAGGGTCTCTGAGGCCTGACAACAAACAGATGCCACCTTGCTGCTGGCCACTTGCAAGAACCAGCCTCAGTTTTATTCTACATGTTCTCGGAACCTGACTTTGAATTGAAAAGGTTCCGAGTTGCCAAAAGTGCGAAGTGGATGATGTTCTTCGCATCGTGTGTACATTGCTCTTTTGGGATCGGCTAGATGTTATTATTACAAATTTAATCTCATTTAGAGTGCAAAGCTTCATACACATTGCATCTGAAAGATGTCCAACATAATGTCCAGCTGTGGCTGTGCATTTACTGAGTATAGGGGGGTCTTGTCTGCAGAACCTGACATCACCAAGGGGGCCACACATTCAGTATTTGTAACCACCAGGTACCCCATAGAAGATTGTCAGAGACTGCAGATATATGGCCGGAGATGACATGAACTCAAATGTGACATGACATCACCAAGGAGACCACACATTCAGTATCTATAACCGGGTACCCCATAGAAGATTACCAGAGACTGCAGATATACTGCCGGATATGACATGACCTTAAATGTCACATGACATCACCAAGGGGGCCACACATTCAGTACCTGTAACCAGGTATGCTATAGAAGATGGGCAGAGACTGCAGATATGTGACAGATGATGATCAGAGATTGTGGATGTACTACAGCAGATGGTCAGAGACTGCAGACCTATTACATGAGATGGTCAGAGACTGCAGACATACAGGAGATGGTCAGGGACTGCAGACATAGTACAGGAGGTCAGGGACTGCAGACATAGTACTGCAGACATACTACAGGAGATGGTCAGGGACTGCAGACATAGTACAGGAGATGGTCAGAGACTGAAGACATATTATAGGAGATGATTAGAGACTGTAGAAATAGTACAGAAGATGGTCATAGACTGCAGACACACTACAGGAGATCGGCAGAGATTGTCAGAGACTGCAGACCTATTACAGGAGATGGTCAGAGACTGCAGATATACTCTGCAGTATAGACTGCAGAGATGACATGACCCTAAATGTGACATGACATCACCAAGGGGGCCGCACATTCAGTACCTGCAACCGGGTATGCTAAAGAAAATGGTTAGAGACTGCAAACATGTGACAGATGATGATCACAGATTATGAATGTACTACAGGAGATGGTCAGAGACTGAAGACATGCTACAGGAGATAGTCAAAGACTGCAGACATACTACAGGGGATGGTCAGAGACTGCAGACATGTGACAGATGATGATCAGAGATTGTGGATGTACTACAGGAGATGGTCAGAGACTGCAGGCATAGTACAGGAGATGGTCAGAGACTGCAGGCATAGTACAGGAGACGGTCAGAGACTGCAGGCATAGTACAGGAGATGGTCAGAGACTTCAGACATGGTACAGGAGACGGTCAGAGACTGCAGGCATAGTACAGGAGATGGTCAGAGACTGCAGGCATAGTACAGGAGATGGTCAGAGACTGCAGGCATAGTACAGGAGATGGTCAGAGACTTCAGACATGGTACAGGAGACGGTCAGAGACTGCAGGCATAGTACAGGAGACGGTCAGAGAGGCATGTACACAGGACATAGTACAGGCATAGTACAGGAGATGGTCAGAGACTTCAGACATGGTACAGGAGATGGTCAGAGACTGCAGGCATAGTACAGGAGATGGTCAGAGACTGCAGGCATAGTACAGGAGACGGTCAGAGACTGCAGGCATAGTACAGGAGACGGTCAGAGACTGCAGGCATAGTACAGGAGACGGTCAGAGACTGCAGGCATAGTACAGGAGACAGTCAGAGATTACAGGCATGGTACAAAAGACGGTCAGAGACTGCAGACCTACTACAGATGGTCAGAGACTGCAAACATTGTACAGGAAATGGTCAGAGACTGCAGACATTGTACAGGAGATGGTCAGAGACTGTAGAAATACTACAGGAAATGGTCAGAGACTGTGGATGTGTTACAGCAATGGTTAAGATACTGAAAGAAGCTACAGAAGACAGTCAGAGACTGGAGACATATTACACCTGACTGCTAGAGATCACTGCCATTGTGGTCTCTTTACAAATCACTGTTCATACCACTGACTGGGGGGGTCAGAGGACCGCACAACAAATATCGAGGGCTGTAAGTAACCCCTGAGCTGAAGGCTTGCACCAGGGGTCTGGCAAACCAAATAAATTACATAATGTGCTTTCACGGAGTGAAGAAGTAAATGTTTGCTAGTCAAGTGTTTGTGTGTTTAACAATCAAGTTTAGTTAAAAAAAAAAAAAAAAGCTCTGTAAGTGACCATCATTTAGGCCGGTTGTTGGGGGTGACTGCACTCTACTCGCCACTATTATTTTCAGATTTTATTTTATATTGCAGCCAGGTTTGCAGACGTCACACAGGTAACAGAGACCTGTACAAGGCATGAGTCTACCTGTCAAGGACATGTGGGGAAGAGGGGGAGACCTTGCACCTTGCAGCCCATTTTATCACCTGTGTAGAATGACTTTTAGTGTGAGCCGGCTTAGCACTCTTCCTGCCAGCTGAGCCTTTTATCTTCTGTGTGTTTTTCATTTACAGCTCTCCTCTCCCTTCCCTGAGCTGAGATTTATCACCAGCATGGACTGTCTGTGGTGTATCCTGCTGAGTAACTGCACTGACATGTGTAGGAATGTGTCCCTCTATGTCATTCCCTGATATAAACAAACACCATTTATCTGCTGGTAGGCTAGGCTCCGGGGTACTCATGTGTATTTCAGGATCTGCTGTGAAGTGAGTTCCAGGAGATGAGGTCTAGGAGTCTCGCCACTACAGAGGAGCACAACACGCTACACGGAGATTGTTTATTACACGCTAGTGACATGAAGTGTTTTTTTACAGGTTATATTATAATGAGCAAGTTTATATGTGAACAGGAATCCTCCTGTGTGCCAACAGTGTGCTCTGTGGAGGGATTAAGATACAGGAAAGAAGGTGAAATATAGATAAAAGAAAATGTATACTTGTATTTATGTATCTCCCATTTTGGAAAATAATTAGCACCCCTGTTGGGTTTCTATTCTTTACAGTTGCCACCAATACAGGATATGGGGGAAGGATCTTCCATTTGGGACTCTCGTTCAGGTGGAAAATATCTAAGACCTCCTCAAGTCTGGGGAGATTTCTACTCACTTCCGGTTTTGTCACAGGGGCAGGAAGTGTGTGTGTGTGTGTGGGGGGGGGGGGGGGGTTACCAAATGGAACAAAGAAAGGAAAAGAAAAGTCTGTCAGGGCTGGATAGACTATTCAATGATGAATAACAATGCGTATAATATGGATTTATGGATTGGCTCCTCTTTAAATGAAGAGAGCAAAACAAGACCTGACGTCTTGTCTTGTATATGTTCTTGGAGCTTCTTGTTATCCTCATACAATTCACGTATTTTAAATTTGCACCATGGGGTACACAGATCTCAATATATTTTACTGCTATAAAAAGAGCCCATTTAACGGCCTGCAATGTACCACGGACGAGGGCCCGTGCAGGCGAAATGGAGTACTGGTATGTCGCCGCCTACTTCCTTGTTTAGGGGGCGCACATGCTGATTGCACACAGCAGGAGTCTGTCAGCAGGTCCCAGCCAATGGCTCATGGCCGGGACCTGCTGATCGGCTGTGTCCTAAAGCAGTCCAGAGCCCTGTACAGAGGGGAAGAGACAAAGACATGTATGAGTAAAAGCAGCCCAAAATACACACATTACACCTAGTTAGGCACACATTTAACCCTTGATTGCCCTAGTTGTTAACCCCTTCCCAGCCAGTGTAGTACAGTGACAGTGTATAGTATTATCACTGATTATTATTATTTCAGGTACCTATATAAAGCTGTCAATTTACATATATATTGTACATTCACATCAGTCCCTAACCCTCAAGGGGCGTACAGTCTAAGGTCCCCAACTCACATTCATACATACACATACTAGGGCCAATTTAAACAGGATCCAATTAACCTCCCAGCATTTTTTTGGAGCATGAGAGGAAACCGGAGTACCCGAAGGAAACCCACACAAGCACAGGGAGAACATGCAAACTCAGGCAGGTGGTGTCATGGTTGGGATTCAACCTGCGTACTGCCAGGCGGAGGGGCTAACCAATTAGCCACTGTGGTGCCCATCACTGTATTAGTGTCACTGGGGATGTCAGTGGCAGTTAGTCAGTTCCTACCCAGTGTCAGTTACTGTCAGATTGCCCACCACACTATCACAGTTCCTTTATAGGTCACTGACCACTGCCATTAGAGGTATAAAAAAAAAAAATTAAACAAAAATTCCAGTATATACGGTACACACACACACACACATATATATATATATACCATAGTTTGTAGACACTATAACTGTCACTTAAACCAATCAATATAAACTTATTGGGATTTTTTTTTTTAACCAAAGACATGTAGCAGAAGCCATTTTGGCTTAAATTTATGAAGAAATTTGATTTTGTTTTAATTTTTTATTGGATATGTTTTATAGTAAAAAGTAAAAAATATTGTTTTGGTTTGTTTTTTCTCAAAATGTTCAGTCTTTTTTTCGTTTATGTAATAAAAACAAAATACAACCAAAAGAAAGCTTTATTTGTGTGGGAAAAAAAAAAGATATGAATTTAGTTTGGATACAGCATTGCATGACTGCGCAATTACCAGATAAATGAAGCCCAGTGCTGAATAGGAAAAAATAGCCTGGTTATGAAGAGGGTAAAACCTTCCGGCGCTCACTTGGTTAATATTTTTTTCACTTGAAAGGACCGAATCAAGAGCACTGCTCTCATCTTGAAAGGTCCTTCTTCTAAATGCTATTGTGATGTACGGATCTCGTACAGTAAGTTTTTGGCAAACATGTTACAAAAAGCTACTGATGCTTCTAAATGTTTGCAAAGCTACCCAAAGAGAAAAGCATTTTTATTCCTGTACATGGAAGTGTCAGTTAATTATCTGTCATGTGAGCATTTTTTTTTTTAAAACATACAATTTCATTGCAGAGAAAAATCATTACTACACACTGTACAGTTCTTGTAGGGTATATGGTCAGAAAATCATTACTACGCATTGTACAGTTCTTGTATGGTATATGGTCAGAAAATCATTACTACACACTGTACAGTTCTTGTAGGGTATATGGTCAGAAAATCATTACTACACACTGCACAGTTCTTGTATGGTATATGGTCAGAAAATCATTACTACACACTGTACAGTTCTTGTAGGGTATATGGTCAGAAAATCATTACTACACACTGTACAGTTCTTGTATGGTATATGGTCAGAAAATCATTACTAACGCACTGTACAGCTCTTGTAGGGTATATGGTCAGAAAATCATTACTACACACCGTACAGTTCTTGTAGGGTATATGGTCAGAAAATCATTACTACACACCGTACAGTTCTTGTAGGGTATATGGTCAGAAAATCATTACTACACACTGTACAGTTCTTGTATGGTATATGGTCAGAAAATCATTACTACACATTGTACTGTTCTTGTAGGGTATATGGTCAGAAAATCATTACTACGCACTGTACAGTTCTTGTAGGGTATATGGTCAGAAAATCATTATTACGCATTGTACAGTTCTTGTATGGTATATGGTCAGAAAATCATTACTACGCACTGTACAGCTCTTGTAGGGTATATGGTCAGAAAATCATTACTACACATTGTACAGTTCTTGTATGGTATATGGTCAGAAAATCATTACTACACACCGTACAGTTCTTGTAGGGTATATGGTCAGAAAATCATTACTACGCACTGTACAGTTCTTGTATGGTATATGGTCAGAAAATCATTACTACGCATTGTACAGTTCTTGTATGGTATATGGTCAGAAAATCATTACTACGCACTGTACAGCTCTTGTAGGGTATATGGTCAGAAAATCATTACTACACATTGTACTGTTCTTGTAGGGTATATGGTCAGAAAATCATTACTACGCACTGTACAGTTCTTGTATGGTATATGGTCAGAAAATCA